TCTGGGTCACACATCACCCAGCAACCGTATCTGGTGCCGTCATGGAGGTTCACAGGGGAATGTGTGACAGTAATGTTGAAATACTGGATAACAGCCATGGCAGAAAAACAACAGATGCTGCACCAGGAGAAGATTGATTCTCTTATATGGTTGTGTGTTAGTTATATGTGAGAAGAGTTTAATACTTTCATGAAGATGATGACAAGTGAAACCATTTTGCCCAAACAAAACTAGCCTGTATTTGTAATACGTCTTATAAAAGACAGTAACAGTTAGTTGACCAGGTGCAAACTTAAAAATACATTAATTTCATCATCTCAGGCAAATTAATCACTTCATACAGAAATGAATGATTATGCATTCATGTCTGTTCCTACGGTTGAGCCGCAGACTGAATAAATATAGCTCTTTGCCCTAAAGAGGATCATCATCTGATCAGTAATTATTTTTTGTGAGGAGGCTTTGCGTGTGGGACATATTTCTGCTCCTCAGTTTTCACATTTAGACATGAAACCAGCTGTTCACAGCAGCTGAGGGGAGTGTTACACCCCCTGACAGTGCTGTGTGTGAGTCAAGCAAGGATTCAAGAAATCTTCTGTGGAAAATGCTTAGAAACATGGAAGAGACCACGTAGCCTCTGAAGAAGAGACACGGTGTCGCAGGAAGAGAGGGTCAGGGAGAGAAAATGAAAGAAGAAGAGAGGCTGAAGTGGCCGAAAGCAGGGGAGATGAAGAGAAAGCGAGAAAGCGAGTGGGAGGGCACAGAGTTGGGGGGGGGCGTGGGGGGGGGGGGCGGGGGGGGTGGGGAGGGGGGGGGGGGGGGGGGGGGGGGGGGGGGGGGGGCGGGAGTGGGGAGGGGGGACGAGTGGGGGGGGGGGGGGGGGGGGGGGGGGGGGGGGGGGGGGGGGGGGGGGGGGGGGGGGGGGGGGGGGGGGGGGGGGGGGGGGGGGAGGGGTGGGGGGGGGGGGGGGGGGGGGGGGGGGGGGGGGGGGGGGGGGGGGGGGGGGGGGGGGGGGGGGGGGGGGGGGGGGGGGGGGGGGGGGGGGCGGGGGGGGGGGGGGGGGGGGGGGGGGGGGGGGTGGGGGTGGGGGGTGGGGGGGGGGGGGGGGGGTGGGGGGGGGGGGGGGGGGGGGGGGGGGGGAGGGGGGGGCGGGGGGGGGGGGGGGGGGGGGGGGGGGGGGGGGGGGGGGGGGGGGGGAGGGGGGGGGGGGGGGGGGGGGGGGGGGGGGGGGGGGGGGGGGGGGGGGCGGGGGGGGGGGGGGGGGGGGGGGGGTCTAATCTTCAGTGTGAGTCATCCTTAGCGGAAACACTGTGAGTTTCCACAAGGGCAGCTCTCAGTGAACGCAACGTGAAAAGGGCAGGACTGTCATTCAAACACCATAATCCTGCACACATTCTGCACAGCTCTCTGTGCGTACGGAGAGAAAGTACAAATGTGTGTGTGTGTGTGTGTGTGTGTGTCTGTGTGTGTGTGTGTGTGTGTGTGTGTGTGTGTGTGTGTGTGTGTGTGTGTGTGTGTGTGTGCGCGCAAAAAATAAATGAGAAAGAAAACATGTTAGTGTGTGCAGTATGTGTACCTGTGCTTAATTGCGTGCCGGGAGTGGAACACGAGGGCGATAACGAGAGGTACAGTAGCTGTCACTGCTTTGTTACTATGGTTACTATGACTTGATGGTATACTCGCGCTTCTTGTTTCATTTGGTTGTGCCATGTAATAAACTCTGCTCCAATCTAACGCAAGGCTGCATGTTGCTGTAGAACTGCTAGGGGACGACTATAAGGACCCGTTTTTATAATGATCAGGGTTCTTAAATCTGTAATGAAATAAATTCAATCTTCAATTGTGTCTCATTCTCATTCTCACATGTGGACTGACCAGTCAAATAAATATGTTTCTGTAAGTGTCACATGTCACTGACCTGCGTTTAGGAATTGAAAATGCTGCAAACTATTAAAGGTAGCTGAACAACTCCACACAAAATATTTTAAGTTTTTAAAGTGAAAAATGTGACAGTATAGTATAGAGTGCACTTATTTACTTTTATTATATTAATCAACAGCACAATTGTCTTCAGTCTTCTTCAGAAAGGAAGCAAATGAATGTATTTCCCCCCCAAAAAACAATGCTTTTATTTACACCTAATTTTAAAATACTTCTGTCCATAATCAGTCAAATATAACTAAACTCAAAATACTCTTTTTGTTTTTCCTTAAAAGACCTTTTCTTGATTTTGATATTATACTGTATATGTATGCATACTCACGTCTCAAAGCCTTTTCAGTTCTCAGCTTGAAATGAGATGATTGTCAGTTTTGAGGGTTATTATCAAAGTAGCTGTCAAAGTAGGTGATGCAAGTTTCTGGCTGCGCAAATAAGAAAAAGAGCTCTAAGAGAAAATCCTTTTTTTAAGTTTTCAGAGCTGAGTTTGAAGCTCAGGAGGCATCAGTGGCCTGGGGGGGGGTCTCTTTTTTATCTGTGATGCTGAGTTTGACTGACACTCCTCTGTCACTGTGGGGGGGGGGGGTCTAGAGGTTAGAAAGATTTCTAACTGGTTGTAATGGGTGGGGGGCTGCGTGTCAGAAAACATCTGCTTTGTCTGCTGGATTGTTCTTCAAGGAGACACTTGCTGAATCCAAATGTGAAAACTCTGCCTTCACAGACTGTAGTTTTATGTAATCTGACATTGACTGGAGAGCTCAGTATGACTGTGTGACTTTACAAGGACGCAGAGGAGTGAGACTGAATAAAAAAGGGCAAATGGGAAATTCCTTCTCAACACACCCGTTGCCTTGGATACCACAAGCACAAAACACACACACAGGAACCAGAAACTCAACGTGTGCGCATGATCACAATAATCACATATGATATTAAACATTTATTTCCCCACTCACAATGAGAAATGTGGCTCAGTAAGATCAGTTTAATATTTCATCCACTTTTACTGTTTGATGAGTATTTCTGACTTATTTCCAATGGTGGCGCTCAGGCTATTTGTTCCTATTGCTATACTTTTGCATCATATCCTCTCTTTGCTCCACTTTGTTAATGACTCCTAACACATTCATAGTCAAAGCGCAATGAACAACAGGGAAACATTCAACTGCACAATTGCACATGCCTTGCAGTCGGATGAATATTGAAAATGCAAAAATAATTCCCCAAAATGGCCAAACTTGAGGGCTGCTGGGCTTTATGAAAATTGACAGGTCTATCATTTAAGAATATATTTTATGTCTCCAGAGAAATCAAGGAAACAGTTTCTGACTTTTACTGAAGTCTCCCAAACCTCCCTGGAAGGAAAATCTCCCAAAAAAATCTCCCATTATTTAAACAATTACCAATGATACAAGCATATGTCACTTTTTCTGTCCGCTGTTTGTGTTTCAGCCAGCCTGGGACTTCTTGCTCACTGTTCTTCAAATGTGGAGATGAATCTGTTAAAAACTAAACAATCTTTACTCTTATTTTATATAATTAATGCTTCTTTTTATCTGATTACAAAAATAAACAATGTTTCTAATGTCCACAGTTTTACAGTGTATTACCATGTGACTATATTGGACCCTATCTGTGATTATGATCATTCTGCTGCAGTAATTCTACAATAAAAACTTTGATTTTAAATACATTTCATCCTGTAATAGCCACCGAAGAAGTCTCCCCGCCTCTCCATATATCCTCAGTTAACAGCTGAATGAAGCTGGTTGGTTACAGCAGAGTATGTGTAAGTGCTCAGTGAATATAATACGCAGTATGATGATGATGCTGCAAAACAGGAGAACAGATCTACAGAAATGTTTTCAAAGGCAGAAGCATGCTTTCTAAACAGTAAAAGAGTGGGGAGAGGGCCTTTTGGAAGGGTGTCAGATTGCTGCTAAGAGTAAAAAAAAAAAAACTCCTCATGTTGTTCTTGTGCAGGGGATCTGCTCTGAAGCACTCACTGGAAAAGTTCTTTGATCCTAGCAAGACCAGCACTGTGTCCCGGCTAATTAACAATCCACTGACATCTCAGCACTGAGGATGCCAGCTGCTGGTGTGGAGGCAGCTGGAGCCTTCCTACTTTCTATTCTTTCATGTGCATGACCGGAGAGATGAGTTTGCACTGTATAATCACAGATTTTACACACTTGACAATGATTATGATAATTATTTTTTCTATTAACACCCTCTGCCAGTCTCTGTCACATTGTTCTATTTCAGACGGGACAAACTGTTACCAACTGTTTCTCATTCATATCCGGTGTCATCTCTCATCAGTCCAGGGGTTTCTAAACGAGAGCAGCACTCTAAATCACAGTCACTGGTAACGAGAGCGTGGGCAGCATGAGCGCCTGGCACTGACACTTGGCAGAGAAGGTTCCCTGAATGAGGCCAAGACCTGTAAACGGTTTCAGACTATTTCAACCTCGGGGTGAGTAATATACAGAATATGCTGGTAGTTTTGAGTAACTACAAACTATGTTAACTTTACATTTACGTTGATCATTTTCCAATATATTGGCTCCAATGTTTCAAAAATGCCTTTTAGTTGTCCATGCAGCCAGGGTATTTGACTACAACATCAAAGCTAATGTAATTTACATTCATAGGACTACCACAGAATCACTGAATAATATTACACAAGAATGAAAAAAAAAGCTGAAATGACTGTATGACAAATGGCCATTTGCCTGTATCTCGTTGGCTGTGGGAGAAATATTAATATTATTTTTTCATTGACTGTCTTGACACTCTGTGGAGCCATATGCTGTAGCAATATGCTCACACTCCATTCCCTTTAGGGTTGGAGAACGCAGACCTCTGGCTCCATCTTGTGGTCAGATAGAGTAAATGCAGCCAAAAGACAAGCGCGGTACCGCTTTTTTTTTCTTTTTCTTTTTTTTTTTTGCCGGATTGTGATTCTCCGCCAAGTTGAGTTTTACACGTCAGTAGTGAACCTGTACTGGTGAGTGGACGTGTACAGTGCGCGTCAGGCGGTTCCCGGATGCACCAAACAGAAACATGGAACGGGTAGTGGTGGAGGTGCCGATCAACAACGGTGAGATACATTACCACCTCCACGCCTAACGCTCCGTTCAGCCACTTATATTAACATCTCCTTAAAGGCATTTGGTGCTTCTTTTCGATTCGTGCACAAATGCTCCTCCTCCTCCTCTGACGCATGTGGCTCGGAAATGAACGCGCTTGTAGCCTCTGTAGGGCTATCAGGGGGTTAGAGGCTATTTGTCTCGTTTCTGTGTGTAAATTCTTGTAGCTGCGGGCTGCCGGTTGTACACAGTGGGAGACAGGAGTGACAGAGCTGCGGTCATCAGTTCTGCAGCTGAGAGACTGCTGTCACCTCTTACCTCTCTGCACCAAAACACAGGTCAAATGTATTCCCCATCATGGCTTGTTAGTTAGATACATAGAAATAACATGTAATGTCATTACTGCAAGACAGTGATAGTAAAATAATCCACTTATAAAAAATATTTTAGATACAAAGTTATGTTTATCTTGTCTTAAAAATCCCTATGCTTGGAACATTAATCCATTTATGTAGGAAGTGTAAAGGTTTTCGTCCAATGAACAGTGGACTTTCAATTTCAGGGAAGTCACATGCCAGGTTGGACTTGGTATCTCTGCATAGGAATAATCATCGAAATCATAACAATAATAATAAAAATGTGGCAGAGAATATTATTTATTTATATCAGTTTCATTTTCAAAAGGTCAGAGGTCATGGCAAATCCAGGCCTATGTGTGAAGGGTGGTCCTCTAATTCATTCTGGCACCTTGCTATGTTTCATAAAATATTACTATTGTATTGTATTCTAATTTCTTCTATTCTATCACCAAATTCAGGTTTTTCCCTTGCCAGCCCTTCCACGCCACCACGGAAGCGTCAGGTGCGCTTTTCGGCACGGCATGACATCATCCTTTTGCGAGAGGTCATCGCCCAGAACCCCTTTGCCTCCAAAGAACCAGGTTAGTCCTTTTTTTAAAGGACTAATCCTCCTGAAAACCCTTGGTCAGTTACAGAGAGCTGCAGAGAACTCAGTCAATGTGTGGTCTCGTTAAAATATTTTCAGTGGAGCTACAGTGGTATTTAATAGAGGAACTTTTTTTTTGTTTTTACCTCAAACGTCAATAGTAACCCTGCTATATTATTATTATATATCATACAGTGGGGAGATTCTTTGTAAAAACTGCCTTTTGTAAAGACTTTCAGCAATTGTACAATTCAAAAGTCTCTGATACAAGAGGCAGAGAGACCAGTATAATGGAAAACGTGATACTTTCAACACGGTCATGCCGTCGTATTCATGAGCTTATTGGATACAAAGTTGATGGCCTATATATATATATACCGTATATTCACATTTGTGTGAATGTTTTTCAGGACGGATCTGGGCCCGTGTTGGGGAAATTATCACAGCAGCCCTCCAAGATGAAAACTTTGAGGTCGATGCCAGGAGGTGTAGGGAGAGGACCATGCTGTTGCTCGACTACTACAAGAAGCAAGACTTTCCCAGCCTGCGCAGGTTGGTGCCTGAAGCAACAGGACTCATATTTCAGTAGAAATTTAATTAAAAGTAAACTGTACCATTTCCTTAGGAAATACTGGCCCTGATCTGGATGTGTGGTGCTGTAGAGATGTGCTAGTCCCTTCTAAATAGAAACCCACGTTTAACATTTGTTTGTATGTTTGTGTGTGTGTGTGCATTTGTTGTACTCAGGTTTGGAACAGAGAGATTATATGCCCAAAAGGAGGATTTGCTCCATGAGGTTTTGGAGCTGGAGGCAGAGAAGGGGCTCCTGGCCAGCGGCGAGGGCACAAAGTACCAGGTGGGAGTTAGTGGTGTGGTGCCAGAACAGAAGACAAGGTAGACTTATGTTACAATACCAGTGCAAGAAATGTATTTTTACAGAGGGTGTTCTTGTGTGCCCTTTAGCCGGTTTAGAGGGGCAGCCCGACTGTACAAGTTTCAGCTTCCATCACACAGCTTCATGCTGCAATTTATTTTGTCAATGGTTGTTTTTCAGACTGTTTGTTCTTGGCCAAACATTCAATTTCAGTGTTTGACTGAGCTAAACAGTTGTTGTCTTTTCAGAGACTGACATGAATATTAAAACCACACACTGTTATATAGACCAGATGTTTTCAACATTTTAAGCCTGTGTGGCCTTAAGGTGAAGAAGAGTCCATTGTCAGTCCCTTGTCACGGGTTGCATATGACTAGGAGTAGTGAGCAGTTCTAGTACAATCTTTCTTTCAAAACCTCTCAGATTGTTTCTTCTGAATGATTGTTAAAGGCCAGAGGATGGAAATTAACCATATTTTCACAAGAAAAAAAGCTTTTTTTTAATTAGAAAAGGTCCAAAAATAACACAAATATGTAGAGTCATGTTTATTTTGGCTCAGATTAGATATGTTATACACAAACATTGTGATTTTCATCTAGAAATTTCACACACTCTATTATTACAGTTATCTCATTTAACCAAGAGTTGACAAGCCACTCTTTACTATCTCTTTTATAAATAGTTTATCTGTTCTAATACTGGGTCTAGCCAGAGAAATCAGAAATCAGATTTTTATGTTCTGTGGAACAAGCTTAGCCACTTCCCTTTTCTTCAAATTTGCCTACTGTTTATACAGTGTATTACCACTGCCACTATTACTGCTGCTGCAACTACTCTCAATTTAATTATTATTCCTATTAATATTATCATTACTACAATAACATCTACTGCTACTGTTGGTAACACCTGCTGTTACCAACAGCTGCTTTTCATGATTCCCATTTTCTTTATTTCTTTATTGTCATGTATCTTTCCCAGGATGATGAGCTGAGAAAGCGAACCATAGAAGAATTGACTCTGCCAGAGCAGGACAAACCCAACATCACTACCACACAAACACCCACTGCAGGTAAACACAGATAGATTCAAGACTCTTCCTTCTCGATCGTTATAGCCTCTCAGAAGCAAATGACGCTGAGGTTTGTTTGATCATTGAATATGACTCAGTAAATACTGTAAAAGTAATAGAAGACACTGCCAGGAGTAGGGGTGTGATCCACTCTGGTGTCACAAATACTGCAACGTTTTTGAATTGCTGCTATCGTGAGATACTGGTAATGTAGTCCACAGAGTAGCATGGTTAATATTTCTTACATTGTGAGAAAAGAGGAGATTTGAAAGCAGCACCCTTCAAACAATTGTTTTTTTTTTTGTTTATTCATCCATTTTCTGTCACTGGGTTTGGGTTGCAGTGGCAGCAGGCTGTTAACATTAAATTGATGACAACATCATTGGTCACACATGGAAAGGTTGGACCTTTATTTACTGCACTTTTAATAGAAATACACGTATCCTAACGTCTTAATGTGATAACTGCAATTGAAGTGGGCGATCATTAAAATTCAATGGGTCAATCAGCAAATAAACAAATTTAAATACGTAAGTACTGTCTGTCACAGCAGAACCAGACGAAGATCATGAGGAAATGGCCGTGCTGTCAGCGGCGCCCACAGCCAAGCGACCCTGCCAGTGCTGCTGCCAAACCTACTCTGAGATTCTTAGCTTCCTGGAGAAACGCTCAGAGGCAGAGCAACGGCTGCGCGAGGAGGAGCTTGCCCTTCGCAGGGAGGAACTAGAGATTCAGAGGAGTACGTTTTTCATAAAGTTGTATCGTGTTCTTTTTTTAATCCAACCCTGTGTAATAAAAAAGGGGGCTAAAACATTTGTCCCATCTATGTCACAGTTAAAAAAAAACAAAACAAAATGTATTGCTGGAATGGAACAATGCTTGTAATCTTGCATTTGTCTCTGACATTAGATGTTCCAGATTAAGTTCATAACATTAATTGTATGTAAAATGGACCATAAATATCATGTCTACTGATACAATGCCATTCATTTTAAGGATGGAACCATTACGCTCTAGTTTGAATTAAATTTCAAAAATCTGAAATTGGGGCAGCACTTCAGAAGTGTGGAACCAGGCTAAATTAAAGTAAGAAGAAGACATAGGAACCATTACACTATAATAATTATCACATCACATCTAGTGATGTCATTAATGGAAGTACCACAGACTTGACATATGCACAGATATTCATTTTGACGTGCACAGATTTTCATTTTGAGATCAGGGAAATTACAGTTAAAATGTCCTTTTTCTTATTCTCAGGTAAGATCGCTCTGGAGAGGGAACGTCTGGGAGCTGAGAGAAAAGAGAGGGAACGCAGATTTGAGCTGGAGAGCCAAGAGAGGCAGGTCATCTTGGACCTGCTAAAAGAGAAGGTGCTGAAAGGCTGACAGAGAAAACATAGTGGACTGCTAAAAAAAGGAAGGAAAACAAGAAAGTAGGAAGTGAAAAAAGGGATCAAAGAGATGAACAGTGCGTTGAGATATATACAACAGTTAGTTCCGACAAAGTAATTTGATTGGACAAGAGGCATTCAATGAGCGCTGATATAGAATATAACAACACTTAGACTTTTAACTACATGCATCACTCCGCTTTACAGGTGTTCTAATAACCGTTAATAACATTAACGGTCAGTACTGCAGGATGTACAGATGCCTTTGCCAATCTTAACAGCCAAACAAGTACTGTGAGTGTGTGGGTTTATGCAGACACATACTGTACAGTATGTGTGTATAGTGCACAAAAAAACAAAAAATATGGAATTGCTGACAATGTTTAAAAACATCAATATTTACCTAAACCAGCTGGACAGAAGCTGATCTATAGACAGTAGATACCAATAAAAAACTCCCTGTGTTTTACTCTTCACTGCACTTTTTTGCATGAGGATTTAAAAGCGTTGCAATTACAGGCCTGTCACACAACAGAAAAGGGTGCGGTATCTTAGGTGTGGTGATCCACTAATCCAATACTGGATGACAGAATCACCATGTGACAAGACGTTTGGTTGCACAAAAATGGATGAATGCCTTTTCTTGTGTGACCAACAGCCATATGCTTTCATGAGTCCGATCTTTGTGATGCCAGTACGGAAAGCTATATATTTAAGCAATTAACACTGAATTTACGATGCAGCTCAACTAAACCCTGTAGCACTTACCATATTAATGACTTAACACATTTGATCAGCCACCACTTTTTCAATCAGAAGACTTTTTGAGTAAGTAAAACTATATTTTACTGACTGTGAATACACTGCACATTGAGTGGTAAGCACTTTTGTACTGCAAAAAATCTTACTAAAACAAGCCATGAAATGTGTGAAATTAGTGATAATGTCACATCTTAGGTGTACATTTCTTTCTGCTATAAGATAATAAAATTTATGTCGACATCCACAGTTTAAGTTGCTATGTACAGTTAACTGTCAATGGTTAAAGTTACAGTTTACATTAATATGGAATTGATGCTAAGAGCACTTTTAATAACATGTTCCACTGATCTACAGGTCATTTTTTCCACTTCCACCATGAGTTGTTAAATAATTTGGTTTTTATTACATGGCAGTTGCTACTGTAACCTCCTGTAAATGCTTTGAATTAAAATGCTATTTTTCCTTAACTTCCAACAACATAGTCTACATTGTAAAAACTGAAAGCATGTGAAGAAAATTTGTTAACCTAAAAAGTTGATAATTTCTACTCTCCAAATAAAATAAAATGTAAGTAAAGCTTATGTGCATTCCTCATGATCACCAACAACTACATTTAACTCACTATAGTGTTACTGCAGAAGAGATTAGGCCACATGTCAGGAGCTTTATGGTATGGTGACTATTTTATTAAAAATCAGTATTTTTAAAAAAAACTTTTTGAAATTGTTTTTCCCCAGTGTGGTGCAATAAAACTTTTAGATCTGCCCGTATTCTCAAATCCTGGTTAATCCTTTGAAGTTTAAGATAATGTCTTATGATGAAAACAGACTTGAGATGGCAGTATCAAGTAACTCTCCAAAAGTTCCTTTTTGCCAAGAAACCATTGAGGTACATTTACAAAATCATATACATGAACAAGATTTTGAGGTACCTGTTCTTTGCTTAAGTATTTCCATTTCATGCCACTTAACTTTTCAGATTTTACAGTTCATACAAAACTTATAAGGTTACAAAGTGCAATACTGTTTAAACTGCCTAAAAGCACATGAAAAGTAGCTAAAATGATCTCCACCTCAACATTTTGCCTACATAATAATTTATCATTAATAATGCACCAATGATGTATGTGACAGCTACAATATATTGAAAAGGGACATTTCTGCATTAGCGGCTACATGTTGCTAATACTACTGTGTACTAATGCTCAGGTAAAATTGCAGGATTTATGTGTAAACGAGTACTTTACACTGTGTTATCACTACTTTTATAAAAGTATCTCTATCTAAGAACTTCTTTCTCCAGTGTACTATCCACTGTTACTTACTACAGCACTGCCTGATAGGATTTATTTATTTACCCTATCCTACCAACACATTTTTTTGGTCGTGCCGCTTTAAATTTAGGTCATACGAATTGCACGCGCTGATTGGTCAAAATATTATCTTACACGCCCTCTGTTGTTTCGATCTAGCGATTGATTGGTTCTCTTTAACGTCATTCTCTCTTTTCCAATAAACGTGTGTGCTTGTGGCGTTTTTTTCTCCCATTTTTCTCCTGCTGCGACCGCATTGCTGTAAAGTTTACAGTAGCAACATTTGAATGTTAGCAGTGGAGTTTTGATTTCATTCCTCTGCAGCAGCGAGCCAGCGGAGTTTTGGTACCTTTCAGCTTGTCGTCATAGTAACAAAAAACGCGTGTTTGTCCAGGAGACGATAAAGACTCAGTGGCCCGCATGGAAATACAGAGCTCAGCTTTCCATCTGCTGTTGGTTTTGTGTTAGACGGGGGGGGGATTGTGGTGCTGGTCGATGTGAAGGTGGTTGTTGACTCGCTATCACCAGCACGAGAGTTGCTCCCACGTTGCATGCGGAGCGTGTGTCTTGGTGATCTTAGTTTGTGTACAGAGTTACATTACGTAGTTTCAGGGTTGTATTTTTCTTACTTTAAGATGCGTCTGCATGGTGGAATTCGAAACCACCAAGTGCTTACATTTTAGTGAAGGAATTGTTCTTCAAGTACACGATTTTTTTGGACCAGTTAGTGGAAACGTAGCCAAATACCACATTGATTCCAAAGCAAAATGCCTATTAGGCGTTTTGGGGGTCACAGGTCTCTGGTCTCTCAATCCCCAAAGCTGTCGTATGGTTACAAGAAAATGAATGTTTCAAGAAGTGGCTACCGTGTTTTCTCTGCCAACTCCACCACCGCTTGCACCGAGTTGGCCAAGAAGATCACAGAGTAAGTGTTGTTTAACTATGAAATACCGTTGTGGATATGCTCAGTTCATATTTGTGATGTTGAGGATTGGTCTGTCTTTGTTACCTGCCATGTACCTGATAGTACGGTACACCTGGGAGTCATAGCTGCAGGTGACCTGAGGCGAGAGGGTGTGTATTGTTTTCTAATTTAATGCAGTTCTGTGATGCTATGCAAACACACAGACACACACGCACTGTAAATGTTGTGAAAATAATAGGGTAACTCATGACATTGATGCCACAAGATGATGATGTGATGGCACGAACATCATTACATACATCATTTAGTCCACAACATCAGTGTAGAGGAAGGAGGAGCATGTTCCTATAATTGCAGAAATAAATAAAAAAAAAAAACAGATGTAGAGTGTACATGTAATATTTTACTATATTATAAGTGATCAGACCTCTGCAGAGAATTGAGATGAAACATCTTCTTACAAAGAGCAACTTTCTAACACATCTCATCAAGTTAACAGTGTGTCTGTGGCTCTGTGCTAATGCAAGAAAATGTATTCCTATTAGTGCTTGTGTATGTAATTGTATTGGAAATAGCATTTGTCCAGTTTTTTACATGCACTGCCAAATTGGCTTGTCACTTGCAACAACTAAAATGACTTCATAATTGATCAAGTTGTATCCACAATTTGTAGGGGATGGACTGATATGTTGCTTTGCAATACCCTAAATACGATATTGTCCATACAGTCATATACACTGGTCTTGGATGAGTGTCACTTTTTGAAACCTGATATGAAATTTAGAACTAGTTTAATTCTAAATCTAAACACTGATATTTATTGTTTTGAAGTCTTGAATGAAAGTAATCAAGAGTTTCTCCCACTTTTAAAAAGCTGTGGTTGGTAACTTTTTGTTACTTGATGGTGTAACTGCTTTTTCAGTGGCTATTTCAAAAATAACCTGACTGTTTTCCTTTGTTTTTCTTGATATGAATATAATCCAATGTCAACACACTGAATGTTGGCACAAAATACTGGATGTTAGAAACTAGGAATTGTGGGTTCAATCAATAAAGGAATTGATTGATTGAACCCCACCTTACAGAATCTTAAAGTCTGTGGAGGTTTTTATTTTCCTTAATCACCATTGCCCTTAAAAGTATCTTTGTACATTAACATTAGGTTGTGCACAACCTTTTACAGTGAAGATGAAAGATTTGTTTTATTGGATTATGAGAAATGTGGGTTTTGTTTTCTGAGTGATGTGTGGGTGATTCAAAAGACCTGTCAGTAAGAATCACTGGGATGAAAGGAACACTGGTCAGTCTAGGAAATGAGCAGGGCTCAGATGCTGTATACTGGGTGTTACTTAGGGAGCCAGACATTTTTTAATAGACAGTGATTCATGTGGCATGTTAAAGGGTTCTGGTTGAGTAGAAAAACAAGTGAAACCAGGTAAGATGCATCTGAATGAAAACAAAAACAATAGCAAATATCAGACTAACTGACCCAGATGTCTGCAAACACCAATAGGTCTTCTTCATGTTGGCTTTCTGAAATCAGGGAGCTGCCATGTTTTTCTCGGCCCTGTAGACTTGTCAGACAGCCAAGCACAACCTGAGCACAGTGAATAAGACCCTAGCTTTCTCAGTTTTCATTGTTTGGCAACAACAGAACATTATTAGGAGATTATGTTGCCATTCAGGAGCTCAGTTTTCTTGTGGTGCAAAGGTTAACATGAGCACACAGAAAATACTAATGAATTGTGTACTGCTTATTTACTCTGATGTGCACATGATATAACTGGGTTATGTGTAAATCCCTGTGGGACTGAAGTCACCCTTATTTTTTAAAACCATGTAATTCTTCACTGAATGTGACTAAGAGAGAAAAGTTTGTAAGGCTGTAAACTGATTGGCTTTTGCAATATTCTTGGAGCTTTCACTTGTTAGACACATATATCCACGAGGAGAAATAACACTTGGAAGGGCAGGTCCCATATTTTTTGTCTGCTTTAATGTGCCGTAATCATAATAAATGACAGCAATATATCAAATATTGGAACAAGATTGAGGTTGGGTGATATAAAACAGGGTGAGGCTACAGTGACAGAGGCTTGTTTTGCCTCGTGGGATCCCTGCTGACTGTACTGGCAGAGTCTCTCGCTGTCGCCAAGCCAAGTCCTCATAGTTTAAAGAGCCATCAAGTTCATTATTTATAACTAAGGCTGTTATGTTACTGTTTGGTTTCAGACACTGCGTTATTTTCTGCCCAAGGCTCTGCTCTATTCATGATGCCTGGGCTTGTTTAGAGTTTCATACCGTGCAACGCACTAAATTAATATCAGCTTAGTGTATTTGTGCACCAAGAGCTTTTGGATTTTGTGGCGTTTTTAAAAAAGAAAAAAAAAAAAAAAAAAAAAAAAAGGGTTTCCTCTTTGGAGCTGGAAAAAGTTTCTTGTCACAATTACACTACTGAACAGAACGTTACATTTGTAGGCTTCTTTAATGGCTACCATGTTTTTTTTTCCCCAGAATAAATTGCCTTCCTAGTCATTCTTTAGTTCACTGCTTTTTATAGTCAGTGGGAATGTCTCCTGCTGTCAGCACCCAAAAGTTATCAGAGCCCAAAGGGAGACCTCAAAATTTCTTAACTACTCTGACTAATAATTAAACTTGCATGTCACAGTTTGAAAAGTTATGTACTGATTATGTTCATTATTGATTAATCTGCCTATTATTTTCATAAGTAATTTTTTTTGTTTAAATGTACAAAAAAAGAGAAGGAAAAATGCCCATTGCAAATTCCCAGAACCCAAGGTGATGTCTTCAAATTTCTTGTTTTTGTCCAACAATCTAAAACCCAAAGAGATTCACTCTCCAATGGTATAAAAAGAAAAAGAAAAACAGCAGATCCTCACATTTAATGAGATGAGAGCAAAGAATGTTTGGTGCTTTTTTTCTGGGAATATGATTGAAAAAAAAAAGAACTGATTATCAGTTGGTCAATAATCAATAGTTGCAGATTGTTTTTCAGTCTAGTTCACACACTTCAATAAATTAAAAACCAATAAAGGTTTTTGTGTTTTTCCCCAGACGCCTGGGTGTGGAACTGGGCAAGTCGGTGGTTTATCAAGAGTCAAATACAGGTGAGTCTGCTGAATATCCTCAGGTCCCTCATTTCCACATTGAATGTCTTGGATTAGTTGTGGTTAAGCGTCATCTCTCTTGACTTTGCACCTGAAACCAACAATGATTGTTTTTTTTCTTTTTTTTTGTCAGAGACTCGAGTGGATGTGAAAGAGTCTGTACGTGGGCAAGATATCTTTATCATTCAGACCATTCCTAGGTGAGACGGAAGGACGCTCTTGACACCTTAATGTTTTATATGATCAAAGAATCATATCACATTACAGGACGTGGTTAGCACAGTTTATCTCTGTCATTACAGTCTCAGTAGGTATGCCTGTACACTGCATTTACCATTACTGTGCTATTAACTGAAACAAGCCAAAACATTTCTGCTTTGTGTGCCCTGTAAGTTTCAGCATCCATTTTCCTGGGAGATTCAAGTCCAAATAAAGTTTACTTTTGCAGCAAGTGAAGCAGGGAAGGCAACAGTAACTATGGCCGTTGGCCTTGTTAATCAGTTATTTGCCACGACGAAGAGTCATGCTCTGAGAGATAACCAGAGGTCACAGGGGGGCACATCATTTTCCTACACTGAGTGTGAGCTGATCCAGCAGGCCACTGACCTGCCTGTGTGGGATCTCTGGTTTCAACAGACTCTTGAGGCCAAACTGGTTATATAGCGTGTCCTGTTACACTAACAGTTCTGCACCTCTCTAAAGTAGTGAAACTGTCCTAGTCATCAAAATAACAACCATTGTGGTGTCTGATCAAAAACTGGCTTTATAGTACAGAGTTTTGATTTCTAGCCAGAAAGGATAATGATTTAAAAATCTCCTGTGACCAAATCTTTTCTCACATGGAGGTGTTTTCTTGAACAGAATCCACATTTGCGTCATGTTCTGTTATGCAGTTAATAATGCAGTTAGATGTTTTTCTTTTTGTTGTAACTTAATCAGTTGCATCTACAACAGCCGGTGCATTTTAAGGTGATTTTTGGCTCAGCACTCAGAAAAGCCTGTTGACGAATCAAAAACCAGGCCATGTGAAAACAGTGGAAATAAAACAAAATGTTTGCCCACACTGTTAACTTAATGTACTGCGGTTTATGGTCTGAGGATCTTGTAAACAATCATTAAGCTGTCAAACCCATCATTCACATTCTGCTTAGCAATGCCAACTATCTTTCTGTGACTGATTTGATCTTCTGTGCGGGTGACCATTGGCTCAAACTTTGCATACTAGCACAGTGCTTTTGATGCTGTTATGATTTCTTCTGTTTGTCAGAGATGTCAACACAGCCATCATGGAGCTTCTGGTTATGGCTTATGCCCTGAAGACGTCCTGTGCCAAGAACATCATCGGAGTCATTCCCTACTTTCCTTACAGCAAGCAGTGCAAGATGAGGAAGAGAGGATCCATTGTCTGCAAGCTGCTCACATCCATGTTAGCTAAAGCTGGTATGGACTGCATTTCGTCGTTTCCTCTGTCATTATTGATTTGTCATTAATACCCATGGAATGAAAACACAGCTTAAGGTCAGAGAAATAAACTAATGTAAAAAGCATCCTTCCCCTATTTGCTACACATGAGAGCTGTGTACAACTAGACTCTGTAAGTCCTGCGTGTTACAGCTACAGGCCAGGGGATGTTTTTGAGATATAACTTGTTCTTTAACAATCAAAGAGGAATCGTACAACAGCTACCTCACGTTTTCACTCTGTGAAGAACAGCATATGGGATATATGGGTGTTTGCACAATTTTTGTGTCACCGCTTATTAGCCTACGCTTTAATTTAACTTGGAACAACAATTGAATTGTGCACTGCATTACTTACAACTAATGTTCCAGATGCAAATTCTAGATGTCTGTCTTCTTTATTTCCCAAAGCATTGTACTCACTTAAGTGATCTGTTTTCACAGTTTATTTAAATGTTTCTGTAGTTTATCTATCCCTGCACACAAACGTCCCTGCCAATGTATTTTTCTACCATGCCACACCATTTTGGGCTTCAAACACTGCAGGAATTTGTTCTGAAGCCATACCAACTGGTGTGTATGTGTCTGTGGCGTTGCAGGGCTAACCCACATCATCACAATGGACCTCCACCAGAAAGAAATCCAGGGCTTCTTCAGTTTCCCCGTTGACAACCTCAGAGCTTCCCCCTTCCTCATCCAGTACATCCAGGAGGAGGTGAGGCTATATTACACTGTACACTCAATAATGCTGTGCCTCTTTGTCAGCCAGACATAGTGTGACTAAGAAGCCGAAGTTAAACTTTATTTATTGCCGTTATGATCAAAGCTTTAGTGTAATATTCCAGCAGTGAAAAGAATGTTTGTCTTTCCTCAGATCCCAGACTACAGGAATGCTATAATTGTAGCAAAATCCCCTTCGGCTGCCAAGAGGTAAGAAGAGATCACCTCTCCTGCTCTTACAATGGACAGTTTCATTCACGTTGTCTTCTCACTGCCCTTTCCTTCATATTACTGCTTTGTTTTTGTAGGTATGTTTAAGCTTCTGTGCAAACTCCTGTCTGCTCTCTTTTGCCCATGTATTCGTTTGTATGTGTTGTGTTTGTCAGTTTCTTTGACTCTTGTGTGTCTGCGTGTTCGTCTGTCTCAGAGCTCAGTCCTACGCTGAGAGGCTGCGGCTCGGGCTGGCAGTGATGCACGGAGAGGCCCATCACTCAGAGTCAGACATGGCCGACGGTCGAAACTCTCCCCCCTTGTTCCGCACCACCACAGGACACACCGGACTGGAGCTGCCATGTAAGACACACAACATAACAACATGCCCGCTCTCACAAATTATTCCTCCTTGTTTTCTCTTTGCTTTTTTTCTGTAGCCTCTGACAATCATTTACTCAAAACAAATCAGTTTTGAGTGATCCTGTTCTCCATCGCTGGATGCAAGTAAACAAAGTCGCTTTTCATGTTTACATTGACTTTTAGTGAACTTGTTCGTCCTCCTCCAAACTTGCTTTGCTCAGTGCGTCGTCTCTCCAAGACACCAGGAATGTGCCTTGCGCTTTTGCATTTCCATGTCTTTGTAATTAATGTGTGTTGAGCCAAGACAGCTTCTCTGTGAAACAACAGTGGGAGTAGCCTCTCAGAAAGACCCACCTGTCATCCATCATTGTTTTTACTACCAGTCCAATGATGACTGCCAGGTCGAAATGGTCGTCTGGTCAGTCATAAGCTGTGTTTATTGTGTTCACCATGAAATGATACCCCCATACAACCTACTGTATCATGACGACTGCTCACAGACAGGACCATATCAACCGCTGTAGACTGGAATGCTGTTGTATTATCTGAAGGAGTTTAAGAAATGTTTTTTGGATTCAAAATGGTGGAGAGTTTCCACTACAAACAGGAAAAACATTTGAAATAACCAGATAATATCGAGTTTTCTTACCAAGCATAAACCCTCTGTATGATTGGCTAAAAATGAAAATCTGTAACTGCTGACCAATTCTGCTTTTTTTGGGGGGTGATGTGAAGAGCTAAGTTTTCCATCAGGGGTATTAGAGTGCTTGAGCTTCAAGCTGTATAGTCATCAAACTCTGAGGAAAAATTAATGCCAAAGTACACACAAATATCATAAACCTCAAGTTTAGATCCCTTAACTATTTTGGAATATTTGTTTATATTTATAATCTTATTCTTGACAAGATCTTTTTACCTCTTAGTAAGGACTTATGGCAGGGCTGACCTTTGTTCAGTTTCAGTCTCCCTTTCAGCTGCCTAAAATGGCCAGCTTAAGAAAAGAGTAATAGCTATGCTGACCCTGCAGTAACACACACACACACACACACACACACACACACACACACACACACACACACACAGTTCTCTCAGGATGTTTCAGGTCAGCCTTGCCTCAGGCGTTGTTGTAGCCAGCTGTGAAATACTGCAGGCAGTGACTGACATCACACCCTTTTTCTTCCTCAGCCAGATTTATATCCCTCCTCATCTCATCTCATCTCATCTCGTCTGCTCTCTCTTCAGCTGAATTTACCATCCACTTCCTTCCTCCCCCTCCACTTTAAATGTTAAAGGCCTCCCACCTCTGAATACAGCTGCCCTGTGATTCAGAACCACCTCCTCCTTCAAAAAAAAAAAAAAAAAAAATGAAGAGTTTCCTTGTGCTCACTTGTGCCTTGTAATGTTTTGTCTGTGTTTGTTGTATGTCTGGTTGTAACTTCATTTGTTTTGTACCATCCTGTCTTTTGCCACAGCGAGCAGCAGACATCATGTCCCATTCCCTGGGATAGAGCTCCCAAGTATGATCGTAATGCTTTGAATCCATTCGTGCTTCCTGTTGATTGTTCCTCTCTGCATGGAATGACAGAATGAGTTACTGAGGGCTTCCACTTCATTTTACATCTGAACACAAAAATTAAAATGGCAATTTTAATATAAGAGTTTTTATATTTCTCTGCCATTATGAGGGGGAAACAAAATAAACAAACTGACTGTAACATAAACATGGACACTTGTGTGGTAAAGGTTGAGTAGCAATGACGAAAAACGATCATTTACATAGGAGACCTGTCCGGAGTGTATCTTGCCGCTCGCCCAGAGTCTGAATGACGACATAATAACCTCAAAAATTACATGTTAGAGTTTATACAGTTTATGAAACCATGCAGGGCATACTGTACACAAGTGTGGTAGTATTTCACTCCACTGCATGTTCAGGTCTATGCATGTCTCACCCCAGTGCAGCAAAACTGTTGGTACCTTTTTATTTTTGGCCTCTTCCTGGAGCAAAGTAAAGGCTGCCTTGAATATTGATGGTATCTTTATTGATATAAGTTATTTCACACACTGACCCCAGCTGACTGCTGAGGCTGTGAAGGAATTTAGGGAATATAATACCAGATGTGTGGTCTTAGCCAGCACTTTATCTTCTCAGCAACAGATCTGTTCAACAGCAGAAATGCAAGGGACATTGATCAGACAGGGAACTTAAAAAAAAAAAAAAAAAAGAAAAAAAAAAAAAGAAAAAGAAAAAAGAAAATTCAAATGAATAAGGAAATGAAACACTGAGAGCATGTCTGTTCCAGGTTTGTCCACCCTACATACAGTGACGTGGCCACAGCAGACTTTGCTATTAAAGCCAATCTGTTTCTCTGACTCACAGTATCTCTCTTCATTCCAGTTCTTTGGTCACAGAAAGGGAAAATACTTTTCATTGTCTTTAGTAACAGGGAGTTGCGCTGCTCTGATACGTTTGATCGTGAGACAAATATTGTTTTACCTGAAGTGTCCCTGATAATTGTTGGAAGCCCTCAGTCTCACATCCTCTCAGTTGAAATGATTTTGGTTCTTATAAAATGAAGAGTTATTAGTGAAGTGAGAAACAGTGGCATGAACCATGTGACCTGTGTTTATCCTCTATTTATGTACCCAGTAGGCACATGAGAAACACTACATGATCAAATAGTATTATTTGTAATGACTCATGCTAATTAATCCTCTTACTAGATTTAGGTTTCTAAAATTACATATAGCTTGCCACATAGTTGATTATGAAATTTAAATTTTTGTTCATTAATTGCTTAATATGAACAAATCATGGCAAGCAATAACATCCAAGCCTGACAATTGTGTTTTTATTTTCTTTTTTTAATTATTTTATATTTTTGCCTTTAAAATGTTTTTGTTTTGAGTTGTGGGCTCAGAAATTGCTAAATTTGTTTGATTTAAAAAACCTCAGTCGTTTTGTCTTGGCTTCCTTTGCAACCCAGAAACATGTAACCATTCCATTCAAAAATAATAGAATAAAATTTATTTTTAATTTCTGAACAGAGGCCTTGCTGAATGATTCTTGTGATGGATTTGGAGACTGGCCTCTGAATGTGCCTTGCTGTTGTTTGGAAGAAGGTTTTTGGCATGGTCAGGGCTACCGTGTGGCACATCCAACAAGTCACATGTGGCGGGTTGTAGACATGGATCGATTATTGCTTGAAATCCCTTCAAGTACTTTTAACATTGTAATATGAATGTTGGGGTTGCAAGACTTCAATTTGGGGAGCTATAGATAAGCTCCAAGATAAGATGTTTTTTTCATGACATCATTAAGTAATTTCTGAAAGATAGCATTTGATTGGATTACAAATAATGGTCGATCCTGGTCTATGGTTTTGAGAAGAGGTTCAGCTTTACACTCACTTGTTCATCTACTACTATACAAAAAGCAATTTGAATTCAGCAGAAGCACAAATTTGCCCTACTTATAACTTTTTCTCAACAGTCTTTAATGGGTTTGGTGATGTGGTGGATGGAAGCTTGTTGGGGGTCGAGCTGTTTTGCATGATGTTTGCAGGTTTTAATCAAATCCCTTCTCACCAAATCTCCATTAACTTTACCTCGCCTCAAGGATCCACTCCTGATTGGGCCCACAGAATAGATCTCACTTCCTGTCCTGAAAATATTGTCATTCATCTGTGTCTTTCAGTGATGATGGCGAAGGAGAAGCCACCTATCACTGTTGTAGGAGATGTAGGAGGAAGAATCGCCATCATTGTTGTAAGTTACTTCCTTTTTTTTTTTTGTTGTTACTTTAAACTTAGTTGGGAGTTTGCTTGTATGGAAATGTTACTGATTCTTTTCCATGTGGCCGATTGTTAGTTATGTCACAGGTTTAGTTTAGTGGAGGTCATTGAGTTCATGGCTGATGTTTCTCATAAGTAGAGCTATCAGAGCAATGCCTAGTATCTCTGATACTTTTTGTGCTCAGTCAGATTGATGTTATTCACGCCACTTCCCAAGTTACGGATATTAAAAAAGAAAAGTCTCGGAAATCTTCTCAGCATTGTTCCCACCATGATATGTTAACTCAAAAAAAGAAAAACCTTAATGTTGAGATTAAGTTTTCCAGCACTCCAACTATATGTATTTTCCTTTACTTTTTCTTTATCCCTGTGTGATCCTGAACCCTGTGGTCCCTTTCTCAGGATGACATTATAGATGATGTGGAGGACTTTGTTGCAGCAGCAGAAATCCTGAAGGAGAGGGGAGCCTACAAAATCTACATCATGGCTACACATGGCCTGCTGTCTGCAGAGGCACCGAGACTAATAGAGGAGTCTGCGATTGATGAGGTAAAATCATGTGTGGATGGCAAAATTAATATGCGTCATCCTGTCTTATGTTACTGAAGATAACATTCAAAGGCGCATTAAAAAATAAATGTATGTTAAATGTGTTTAATATGTCAAAATTACAATAAAGCTGATCTGGAGCTACTTTATTATTATTATTATTTCTTTAGAAATAAATATGTCTCAAAACTGAGAGGCTAATACCTAATGCAAATAGAGGCTAATGCAAATACCTTTTGACTTGTTTGTTGACTTATATCGGCTGTGCCCTTTATAACTAACATATCATGGAGCTGGTGGTGGGGGGAAAAAAAAAAGCTCACACATAACAGAAATAAGACATTTTATTTGCACTCACACTCACTTAAACAGTGTGACATCCTGTTTGCATATGCGTTAACAAGTGTTTATTTATTATGAACCTTGTCACAAGGCTTAGGGGACTTTTTTTCCCCCCTGAATTCAGCCTCACAGCAACTGTATTAGTAAGATAGAGCGTGTGAGGATTGGCTTTAATTATTGGGGAATAAGAGTGGGGTTTTCACATATTCAGTCTTTACAGTAGCTTAGTTGAGGTATTTGTTGGTTTATGTGAAATGTGACATTTGTCCTGTGTCAGTTATTCCCAGGTTATGTTCCACCTCACCCAGCTCCATCAATCAGATGCTAACGTTAAGACTTTCAGATTTATAAAATGACAGAAAGTGTGTTCCCTGTGTGCCTCCAGGTGGTGGTGACCAACACTGTTCCTCATGAGGTTCAGAAGCTGCAGTGTCCAAAAATCAAAACTGTGGACGTCAGTATGATCCTGGCTGAGGCCATTCGGCGCATCCACAACGGAGAGTCCATGGCCTATCTGTTCCGCAACATCGCTGTGGATGACTGAGGCAACACACTCATGCATTTACATTCCTGCACACACACACAAACAAACACATTACTAAGCACACACACACACCGAGGACCAAGAATCCAGTTTACTGCAGTCCTGCTTGTTTTGTTGATAAACACATTGACAGAAACTGGCTCAATTTACTATATGTTACATATGAAGCAACTCACGCTCTACTTTATTCCTCTGAAATGGTATATAGTCAGACTGTACAAACAATACAAACTGTTTCACTTCACTAATACATGCTTCCACCATTTGGAGACATGAATAACACAACACAATGTATCATGCAGATAGAAATAAAATGGCAAATAAAACTACTTCTTGGGTGATTAAAGTTGTCTTTTTTTTTTCTTTTTTTTTACCTTGTAAATCTAAAATAGTAAAAGTAGCACAATACCAACCACAGCTGGCATTATGAAGAGCTGCTATGGTTTGCATTTTGCAGTGGAAATGTGAAGAAATCTGTGGAACTGTCAGAAATGTACAGTACAGCGACTTCACACCTGAAGCTAAACTTTCAGTAGCAGTTTCAGTCACAGCTGGGGCCGCTTGCTTTATGAAGCATGGAAAAGCGAGAAATGTCACACTGCAGTGTTCGGACGAAAATGGTCATCATAAAGCTTCTAGGGTTTGTGCCAAAGAACCCTGCATTGCATGAGGTCTTTTGTCATTTTATGAATACAGGCAGGGTGCTGTGATTTGATTGTTGCCTCCTACAATAACTAGATGAAGGATAAAACTTTGGATAAAAGTTTGATGCACATAAGTCACAAATTGTGATTTATGTGCTATAGATATGATGCTTTCCACGACTGTGGTGTAACACAAGTAAATCACTGTTATTTAGACTTTAAATGACACTTCAAATTCAATTGTAAAAGTATTATTTCCCTTTTCTTGATTTGTGATTTGAATAGGTGACTAATTTACAAGCGTGTCTCACACATTGACACATGACCCATAAAGGCTCAGTCAGAGTAAATATAGGCATGTGACACATTATACAGTTATTTTTACTCCCTTCAGGCAGAAAAAAGCCATAAAAACTACAATGTAGTGATCGCAATATCCCTAAATATTAAACACAGACTGCTGACATATCATTACACTCTCTGTTTTCTAACTTTGCTGTGCTCTGTCCAGAACCCTGAACTTGTTCTAAACGCCTCAGAGTTGCTTTAATCTGCTGAGGAGCTTTGACCAAGTCCAGGGGCGAAGACATCTGAGAAACTGAGTCAAAGACTATATGAGTGGCCTCTCTCACTAAAGCTAAAATCTGACCATTGAATGCAAATAAACATAATGCTAAGGTGAAGCTAGTCTGGGTAAAATGGCTGTTCTGAAGTCCTCAAATATCCCTCTCATACCTAATTTAAAACAGAATTCTGTGTTACGAGATGTCAAATCCACACACCTGCGTGACAGTGAAGCTGCCAGGCCTCCATCCCTTCGCAAATGAACAAGACTAAGTGCGGAAGCATGTTTTAAATGTGGACTGAAAGAGGAACTGCCCACAAACGTTTACTTGGCCACTTCCTCAAATTAAAACAGGAAACCTAGTTCAGTCTAATCTGATGGAATGAGGAGGGGGTTGGGGGGTTAGTGGTGGTGGGGGTTGGGGGTGGGGGGGTGGGGGGTGGGGGGGCTTTTGGACCTGAGCACTACAACGGTCTCCGCTTGGCAGGTTGCGTTTAGGGGAACCAGGCACAGCTTTTTCGGGAACTGCACAATGATCTATTTTGTGAACCAGTTTAACAGGAGAACTGTTGTGTACTGTGATGCTCAAGAGCAATTCACTTTGTTTTGCTCAACTTTGACAGCTGGCCCCTCAGGCCTGGAGCCAGTCACTGTTTACTCTCACTCGTTAATTGGGATGTCACACTTGCTTTCATCTTACGTTGGACCCATTTTCCAGAGATGTGAAAAGTGTTAGAGATGTTATCTAGGGTGTTTAGGTTGTTCGCTGCAAACCAAAGTTATACGTAACAGACCGCGTACACAATGCCAATCAGTCAAATCACTCAAGACTAATCCGATGAGCAATAATATCACCAGACATTTCTTCATAACTTATGAAAACTTCAGACAATTGGAACCCAATGCAGTGAAGTCTGTGTTGGCTCACTGCAATATAAAATGTACACAAAAGCACTTTTATAAAAACACCAAATGTCCACATGTGAACATGACTCAAACATACTGGATCTCTTATTAAGATTTAAATTACAGTTTTAGGCTGAAGCCACAGGTAGCAATATACTCAAGGGTCACATACTGAGCTGTTACTAGTTTTACTGGATGGCTTGTGTGTTTTGCACCAACAGATGGCGACAGAGATCTTAAAATACTGTTGGATGTAGAGGGTGAAGAAATCTGGAGCTCAACCTCTTGCATTTTCTTTCACTTTTCAGTTTCAGTTCACTGTACACATTGATTTACTAGTTTGTGTCACTTACTGCAAGAATATGAATACCAACAGAAACAATAAGAACAAAGTGAATATGCTCTGTTGGCACCTGTTGAGTTTCTTTTGTCACATGTTCAGATTCTGTGGCTGAAACTGGTTTGAGGAAGCAGACAGTCAACCTGGTGGCGTGACCCCACCCAAAATAATCAGTATTCATGCTTCTGTATTATATGCATACTGCCAATGCTGTTACATATTTTACAGAGTTTTAGCTTCGTATTGCCGCCTATTGTTGGGTCATAATTTCTGCCTGAAAAGACATCAAAAGTCTGTCTGCTGTAGTAGGCTTTATACTGAACCTGACAGATTTTAGTGCTGAAAGGTTTCCTGACACCAAGAAGGCAGAAGAAGCATTGTAACCAATTATTAAATTTAATTTAATAATTGTAAAAATGACAGCAGTCCTACAATATAGCATTATTTAGCTTTAAAATTGTATTTTTGCAACATGTTCCATGTCCTTCATCTATCAATGTATATATGTTTTGTTTGTTTATTTATTTCTATATATTGTCAATTACTGTTGCACTGAAATGATTTCCTGGAGTACTTTAATTTGTAAGTGATGATCAATTATTTGTTTTTAATAACTTACCTCCTTTATATAATTATTCACCTAAAAGTGAACTTTTCTACATGTAGCTGCATTAACATCAACAATTTCACACAACAAATTTTACTTTTGGTCTTTTATTACACATTTAGATCCACATTCCAATTACAGTTGTTAAACAAACAGCAAAATAATAACATTTGTGAGAGTATGTAATTATAAAAAAAAAGAAATTGAATTTATATATTTTAAAAAACAGCATAAAAACATCATTTTTAATGGTCATTTCAAAATGAAAAGTGCATTTACTGTTTTACATTTGCATTTCACCACTTTTTCTTTTCAAAATAACAGTTATAACATGCTTAATGACAAATTGTAAACATTATGTGCTACAGGTGAATAAGTAAATTAAAACAATTTACATGAGAGATATACATTTTGCACAAACCACAACATATATACACACTTTCTCTCAGAAAACAGTCTGTTAGCAACAGTCGAAATACCTTGATGTAAGTGAACATTTTAATTTGAAATTCAAAAGCTACACATTGATCTAAACACCAGCAGCATGTCACCAAATAAGCAGCAACAAGATTACATCAAGTAAACAACTGAGTATTAAATGTGTCTTCCTTCAGGTTCGTAATTATTCAGGTGGCAGTCTGTTTCAGTTCAGTCTTAACACCATTCTGCTCTTCAGTCTCTTTTCCTCTCAGTTGTGAACCCCAAAGTGTCTTTGTTGGTCCAGATCGCTTATCACAATCACTTTACACCAACACTGACTGAAGCCCAGACTTTTCTCCTTTCCTCTGTCCAGCAGCACTGTGTTTCACAACATACCCTCCGTCTTCTCAACTCTCGTCCCTTCATTTAAAACAAAACATTTCTGCTCCCCTGTCTCCCATTACGACAGAATACAACTGTTGGTCTTGTTCATGGGCGGCCGAAAGTTGGTGTCTTTGGGAAAGGTCTCCCTGCGTCTGCGTAGTGCGGGGCTGAGGCGGCTGGGAAGGTTCGCCTGCTGCAGGAGCTCCTTGAACACCTCCACCACGTTGGCGTTCTCCTTCGCCGAAGCTTCCAGGTAACTGTTGTTCCAGTCCATCTCTACGGTTGACAGCACGTCCTCATTGGACACCTGCCGCTCCTCCTCCCGGTCCACCTTGTTCCCTACCACCACAATGGGCGTGTACTTGTCCTCCTTGATCTCCAGGATCTCATCTCGGAGGCTCTTGACTGCCTCCAGTGACTCTGGGTCATCCACAGCGTACACCAGTGCAAAGGCGTCGCTGTTTTGGATGGACAGCTTGCGCATGGCGGGGAAGGAGTAGCTGCCACTGGTGTCCAGGATCTCCACTGTGATCTTGACCCCGCCGATGTCGTACTCCTTACTGTGCAGCTCCTCCACTGTGCGCCGGTGTTTGGGCTCAAATGTGTCTTGGAGGAAGCGCCGGATCAGAGCTGTCTTGCCCACTCCTGCTGCCCCCAGAAACACTAGACGCACCTGGGTCTTCTCCTTCACCTCAAGGGACATGCTGGCCTTTGTTTATTGGAAGAAAGAAAATGAAAGTAAATGTCCCAAAAACTCACTTACACTTAGTGGTTAATACTGCTGTTAAATCACTACAAATTTCAGCACACTCTGTCACTGACTTCTGCCTTTTTAAAAAGAAAATGTCCTTTTTAAAATCTCCTCTTCAGCAGTTTCTTGATAGTCTTGAGCTTCCTTCCTCTCTCTTGTTGCTTTATAGGGTGCTCCTCTGTGTCTGTGATCCCACCACACACTGCCTTTTATGCCTGTTTTGGTGAGAGAGCTTCCATGCCCTCGTGCAGTTGCAGCCAATCAGCAGAAGGCAGCCTGTTGAAGTGTAACGTGCAGGCAGCCAATGATGGCAGAGCATGCAAATCAGTCAATTCAGGAGGAGAAAAGGAGGTGATCTCTGAAAGCGAATAAACAGCAAGCAGAGCGTGGAAAATACTGTTTGAGTAGGGTCCTGATCGTACTTCCAGGTGGTCACGAAGTACCTCAGGGGGAAAGACAGTCATCCGCCCATTATTCTTATGCCTCTGTTGTGACAGTGTTAGGAAACATGCAGACATGGACACGAGTATCAGAAAAAGTCTTTTTCAGGTTTTCTTGGGTTGCAGAAAGGAGAGCAGTACCTACGGAGGGCTTTCACTGATATTGAGGTGTTTTCATGCCTGTTGTAGTTGAGTTATTCACTGTGGTGTATTATTTACTTCCCGGATTTTTTTTTCCAGCACCACAAATGAGTACATAGGATGGATAATGAAAATGTACATACTGGTCACATTTGTGGTAAGATGAAACATGATCTTACAAACTACAATATAGATTTCTGTAATTTTCTTTATATTTCTATATTCACTCTATTCAGATGTAATGATAATGGCCTCCATATGTCAGTCTTGGAAGGAAAAGGACAGTTTATTTGCGCAGCACCTTTTTAAAAAGATGGCATTAAGGCAAATATTAAAAGACAAATAGGATTTTAAATGGGTAAAATAAAATAGAAGATATAAATAAGATTAAACTGAATAAAACAGAATAAACAGGTGGAAGTAACTTATAGTCCAGACTCCAGGATAAGATGTGAATGAAGGGTTTGCGAACAGAAACATTTTAAAATGAAGTCGGTGTTTGAGCAGACCTCAGTCTTTTTGGGAGTTTGTTTTCAGATATTTGGTGCATTAAAGCTAAATGCTGTGTCTCCAGGTTTTGCCCCAGATGATCTGAGAGGTTTGGATGGTTAATAACATAGTAGCAGATCAGAAATGTATTCTGGCCTAAATCATTCACTGCTGAGTTCTTTGACACACATGAAGCAGGCGATGGGTTCCAAGAACTTGAGTGATGTGCTCCACTTTCTTAGGTCCTTAGGTGGACCTTGGCAGCAGTACTGTAACTGATGAACTTCTGCAGATCAGAAAGCTTGAGTAGATGCAGCAGGTCAGTCCTGTGATAAGCAGCAAGAAATAGTTTTTGACTCTTTCCCCTCTGTCATGTGTCAGTCTGGATAAAGGACTAGGGACTAGCTCTGTCAGCTGAGGGCAGGACGCTAGTTACACTGGAGGCTCTCAACTCTGTTTGTTGTTTCAATGCTCCAGTAGTGAAAGGGAAATCACGAAAGATCAAAAGCCTGAGCTAAAACTGCATTATTATATGATTTGCTACCTGTGGTGTTAAATCTGAATAAAGGAACAATGCCTTTGCAAACTTATCTGTCCTTAAGCTGGTGACATTTTCCTGAGGAGAGCAGCTTATAGATCATTTCAGTCACACATGGCAATGCATGACTCTGTGTGAATCACCTTCAGCTGTCCTCTGTGTCCAATTATATATGATGCATTGCCTGTAACTGTCTGAGAACGAATCCTGGCAGCCTGCATTTTGTCAGAGTTTGTTCTAGAGGAGTGAGCCTGACTCGTGATCCTCCTAAATTTCCCCTGAGACCTGGCGTCGTCTCTCAGACTGTGACTCTCCCCGCCTTGTTAGGCTAGGCAACAGCGTGGAACTGCGATAAGCCCCAGGGAACACTGTAACCCTTCCCACCGTCTGACGAACGCACACTTTTAATATTCACTCATACAGTCTCCCCAGGGGGCTGCTGTACCTGATGGGCAGTGGAGCAGAGTGAAGCACTGTGGGAATACTAACTGTGGACTTCCCCTGTCCTGACACACAGTGGGAGAAACGTTAATGGCTGCAGTCACTGCTCGGGAATTAAAATGAGGATTTCTCAACTGCTGTCACTTCTCGTCAGACTGTCCTGACTACCAAACCTGACGCTGGTTAAAGAAACGCATCTTCACACCTCAGGCCTCCAAAATGACAAAGTAACTGAGAATGAATTTCAGTCTGGTTACAGTTTATGCCTTTACGGGTTTGTTGTGGAGTACATTTACCCAAGTACTGGCTTTGACAACTCTGAACTACCTGTGCTCTACATTTTATTTGACGTTTTACGGAAATATTGTAATGTTTACAACATTTATTTGATTTTACATAGCTACTAGTTACGATTCAGATTAAAGATCTTCTCAGACTTTTTTAAAACATAGAAAAATACTCTGCTTTGAATAATGATTTGCTTCTGCTTTAGTCAAAATTAACAAAATCACATCTTCTCTTTTTGCCTCATTGAAGAGTCCAGAATCTGTGCAATGCATGGAACATACAGTACATAACTAAGTACAGCATATACAGGAAGGTACAGTAAGAAATACAGTATTTATGAAAGGGGTCATTCTGCATTAGGAGTATTTGTATTTTTATTTCACATTTAGCTGATATGATACTTTTACTGAGGTAAAGTTTTGAATAATAATACCTTTACCCTTAATACCATCAAAACCTTTACTTGTATATTTAATTCAATACTTTACACTGTGATATTTGGTCTAAATAGTGAGAGATATACAACAACCTTTTGATTTCCTATGATGTGATGATCGCCTTCCATTTTGACTTAATTTTAACTTTGATAATGCCATCACACACTCCTTCTCTACAAATACACACCTCTACAGCAATCAAAGTCCACACATCTGGAGATTGTTGCATATCTGTTGTGTTGGTATTCTGGGAAACGTAGGAAATGACCAGCTGATGTACTGTAGCTGTGCATAAAGTAGTTAAAGGGAAAATTGATACATGAGAATTAAAAATGACAATACTTAAATGAAACTCACTGAACAGTAATAATTACAATGAAGCATTGAGCCACTGGCGTTTTGACATGTAAATAATACAATTAATGATGGCTGAATTCCATTTAGCTGCTTTAGTCTCAGGTTCACGATCACACCATGGTGAGAGCCAGAGCCACAGTTGTATTTTTCCTGTTGAATATGGAAAAAAGCCTATTATGGCATACTGCATACCCTGATATCCAACTTGTAACTGGAAGAAGTCCACAAAAATCTAATATAGTAAAAACTTGACCCATACAGCCTAAAAATCAGCACCATCAAGAGTTTAAATGAAAAAATGGAGCTCCCATCTGTGGCCACTGGATGTTTTGTTGTGTTCTTGCGTCACGTGTCATTATGTCTCATATCCCCAGCACTTTTCTTGTATTTCTATTTACGGTCACGCTGCCCTGTGGTGATGATAATGACCAGATGGCATCCATTGCCTGTTGGACTAAAACAAATGTTCAGCTCTGATGCGTTTAGAGGAAACACTGCTGTATACTTCTGCACATTATAAGAATTTCCTGGCCATTTATTTCAGTGCATACCTTCTATACACCAAAGGATCTTTATTTACAGGCTGTATTTATGTCTTATTTATGTCTGGTCAAAGCTTTCATGTGTTTTACCCTCCCTTCGTTTATCTGTTTAGGTCACATGTTCATTTTTCAATGCATATTCAACAGGTTGCTTGACCTGTGTCATTGTGTGTGGTGTGTGTGTGTGTGTTGTGTGTGTGTGTGTGTGTGTGTGTGTGTGTGTGTGTGTGTGTGTGTGTGTGTGTGTGTGTGTGTGTGTGTGTGTGTGTGTGTGTGTGTGTGTGTGTGTGTGTGTATGTGTGTATGTGTATGTGTGTATGTATGTGTGTGCAAATTGCATTCCCGTTGCTTCCAACCTGGTTGCTAGTTCTTCCTCCTTCCAGACTGGGTTCAATTCCAGACTGGCAAAATCACACTGACAGTGTTATTTTGCTGTTGCTTAAAAAAAGAAAAAAAGAAACCTTATGAATTTTGATACACTGGTCTTTCAAACAGAAAATTCATTACTATTACTTTTTAGCGTGTCTTTATTTGAAATAGATTTCCTGGTGGCCATGAGCCCCTTGTGTATTACCAAGGAGGAAGGGCCCTGCGTCTGTATATTGAAGGAAAGTGGCCTGTGTCTTGGCCCTGTGGCCTGATCGTCTGTGTCTACATTCCTGTGGGAAACGTACACTGCACTGTCATCCTGTCAAGATGATGCCATGAAGATGATGCTGTGCAAATCTGACAGATGCCAAATATAAATGTTGCCCTACATATGAATTAACCTTCAATGCTGCTGAAGTGTCCTCTCCCCTATATCTGCTCTTATAAGATGTTTTGTTGAAGGTGCAAAGAGGAACATTGTAATATAATGAAACCATAAAAGGCACCTTCTCCTCAAACTCAAACTCTTTTTCTTTTCTTATTGTTAACAAACCAAAAAACCAAAACCAACAAGGCTTTAGTCACAAAGCTGTACGACTTCTACCCTTCCTGTGCCACTCAGCTCCAAACCCGTTTGTTCCTACTAAAGACTTTAAAAATATTTAAAAACGTCTCATATATATAAATATATATAGTTACATTTGAACTCAGACTAAAAAAGTGGGAACTGTTACACTAACATGCATTTTGTGGCGGACTATTTTCTGCCACAGATTAATACACATTTTGTACTAGTGAGTATTTATGACAGAAGGTGTATGTGGGATTGACTCATAATAAACACACACTGCCCATGTTCATCATCACTGATGTGTTTTAATGGTTGTTGGACAAAAACAAAGCTCTATGGTACAGAGGGATATATGAGGGCCTGGATACACAGGCAACACTTGTTAATAGGATCATTTCCTCATTGGTTTTGGTCTTTTCATGGGATTTCTCTATTTATTATTATTATTTCGTTTTACCCTCCACACTGTGTCTGCATGAGGAGGAGTTTATTCCTACACACACTCTATAACTTGATCTTTATTTTCTGGCTGTTATTATAGCCCTGTCGT